GATCACTTATGGTTTAAAAAATGACTAGAACTTTGACTTAAAGATATGTAATTTTGAAGACAGTCAACTACAGAGAAAGCATGTAACTTGCATTCTGAGCCATTGATCTTTGGCAGTAACAGATTATGTTTCTACTCTACAACAATCAGATTGTAGCTTCCTAGAGTATCACCACTGCCTTGTCTGCTCTCAGGGCTGCCTTGATGCACCTGGAAGATATGTGTGAAAGAACATTGAAAACCATGAAGTGCCTTAACAATATGTTGTATACATGCATTCATATTCTGATTAATTGTATACCTGAGACATTTGGTCATAAGACATTTTTCTACATGAGCTTATAGATTAGAATAGGCTAAAAATATGACTGGGTCAAGGGAAGCACTTAAATCCAGCCAGGTCTTGGTGATAGTAAAATTAGGGAGTGACTAGGTGGCAAGAAATAAGCCTAGAGTGTTAGCGCCTTAGAATGTGAACAGAAATAATTTGACTTGAAAATTGTCTTTGTTTAACATCCCACTTCTTCATTCTTTCATCAATATTTATTGAGTACCTAGTTAGGAGTAGGCATTTTTCTTCGACATCACTGATATTTATAATAAGTAAGACAAGATGCTGTTATTGCCCTCCAAGAACTCATAGGGGAAGGTGGTTATAGACAGGGTATAATATATACTAATAAATGTATTCTGTATGCATTTTAGAATGTATTACCTGACTGAGCTATGCTGAAAAAGGTATTTTGGTTAATTAAGTTTTTTTATATTCTCGGTTAGTTTTTTAAACTTTTTTTTTGTAGTTTTTTTTAATTTAAGATTATTTATGCATAAAAGAGCTTGGGGTACAGGCCAGAGATGTTGCAGGGGGGAGAGGATTCACCAGAGACAAAGCAGGGAGCAGAACAGGCAGTCGGACTGAAATGTACTGCTGAGGGGAGCAGTGGGCGAGACAGGAGAGGTCTGCTGTGCCATGTGGGTTTCTCTGTGGTTGGCTGGGAATCAAACTCGTGCTGCAGAGGCTGTGGATTGCTTCATAGTACGGTGCTTAACCCCTTGTGCCACCAGGGAGGCCCAGTTTTTTAAACTTTAAAAAATGAAATGTATTTAAATACTTTGAGATGTATAATAAACTATGAATATATAAGCTATATTTAACATATACATTTTAGATAATCATAATTACCTAAAATATGGATTTATTCTACTTGGTAAGCCATCTGAACATGCTCTACCTGAGTATATTAGGGAGCTGTTAAAGAGAGGGCATTGCTGTTGTCAGCTTGACATTAGTCCTTGGTGCTAGTGTTTCTTAAGAACAAAAAGTTGAGTTTCAATCCTACTCTGCCACTTATTTTTTTTTAAAGATTTATTTATTTATACAAGAACCAGGGTATAGGCCAGATGCGCGGGAGGGTGAGAGGGTTCACCAGAGACAGAGTGGGGAACAGAACAGGCAGACTGACGTGAAATACACTGCTGAGGGGAGCAGCCGGCGAGACAGGAGAGGTCTGCAGTGCCATGTGGGAGTCTCCCCAGCCAGCCAGAATTGAACCCGCGCTGCAGAGGCTGCAGACAGCTTCACAGTGCAATGCTTAGGCACCTGCACCACCAGGGAGGCTCTAGCTCTGCCACTTATTAACTGTGAACTTATCTGTGCCTCTGTTTCCATGTCTGTGAATTGAGAATAAAAATAATATCTATTTCATAGTTGTAGTGAAGAGTGAATTAACACATGTAAGAAAGCTTAGGTGAGTATCTGGAACACATTAAAGGTTATGTAAGTCTGAACAGCTATCATAATCATCATGTTATTGTTACTGTTATTTAGCAGAATTGGAATACATTGAGTAAGATTTCAAGAATGGATTTTCTCCTCCTCAAACCTTGAAAGGTACTCTAAATTAAAGGTAGACAAGGAAGGACCTTTGTTGATCATTAACCACATGCCGGGCATGTGGCTAGCATTTTATCTGCAGTCTTGTTTATTCTTTTCGTTAGTGTTGTGAAGCAATGAGAAAACAGGCCCAGGAAGTTAAGTAACTTGTGTAAGGTCTTACATCAGCAACACATGGAACATTGGGATGATAACTGGTGTCTGTTTGTCTGCATTCTTTATTCTTTCCCTGCATGACAACAAAAAGCTTGCAATATCAGCAGGTTTCACTGATAGGTAATCTTGAGCTATGCTTTCCATTGTTGGGGGGACTTTATTTCTAATGACCATTTAAAAGAATACCAACCACATTTTGGGATTGTTTCTACTAAAGATATTTGTTTTATATGTCTGTAATTCCACCACCACGTGGCAATAGTTTAAATAAGTGGAACTCAGATGGAAACTATTTGAATGTGTAGAGTCTTATTAATAGTTTTCAGAATTAAGCTGATTTATGATGATTTTCCAGTTTTTAAGATCCTCGTCATGACTACAGAATTCATCCCTTTGAAATTCATATATATTTCTTAGGACTTTAAACCTAAACTCCATGGGTGCTATTTAGTATGGAACAGATTATTGCGGTCAACTTTTGGGAACATACAAGATTAGTTCAAATAACTTGGATTTAAATGTAATAAAGTTAACTTTTAACCTTTTGATCTTCTTATATTGAAAGTAGAGTTATTTGCACAGGAAAGAGGAAAATTTTATGGCTGTTAAACCTGCAACCAAACAATATCAGTATAGCTTTCTGGTAAAATTCCTTCAGACTTCAACCTAGAAATGTGGAAGTTGTAAGCCCTTCCTAAAAACATTTCTGCCTTCTCTGGGTTTTTTCATCTTGCAACTGCTTTTGCCTTCTGGGCCTCATCTTTTCTTGCCTTGTGCCTTTGATGGACCCCATGGTGCATTCACCCAGATGTGGAACTTGGCTGCTTCTCTGATTTTCAAAGAGGCTCTATTCACATAGACATATGTGGGTTTAATACATCTAACTGAAGAAAGGAGGCAAAATAGAGGTGAGATGAGTCTACACTAGAAAGACATCCCCATTCTTTAAATTTTTTCACACTCCCTTTGAGCCTAGAATTTCACCCCCATCTAATCCCAGCATTGCTCTTTTAATACATTTTTTTTTAAGATTTATTTGTTTATTTATTTATACAAGCACTGGGCACAGTCAGAAGCACGGGAGGGTGAGAGAATTCACCAGAGCCAGAGCGGGGAGCAGAACAGGCAGAAGGACCGAGGTACACTGCTGAGGGGAGCAGCAGGCGGCAGGAGAGGTCTGCGCGCCATGTGGGACCCTCCTCCGGTGGCCGCGGAGCAGCCGGGGATCGAACTGGAGCTGCAGAGGCTGCAGGCAGCTTCGCAACCCAGCGCTCAACTGCTGCGCCACTGGGGAGGCCCCCAGCATTGCTCTTTTAGACCAACTCTTCTCTCTTCCTTATCATTCTTCCCTCTGCTCTTTTCAGAGATAAGATAAATTCTTCCCCATATCTATTGCAGAGCAATTTCCCCTTCTTGACAGCCATCCTAGGATCTTGGTAGCCATTCTACAGGGACTCACCCCTCCCCTCACCCCTCAGGGGATTGAACATCAGTGGTAAAGTGCCCATGTTGAGGGAACAGTTTTTTCCTAAAGAGCACCTGCACCCCTATGTTTATAGCAGCACTATTTACAATAGCTAAGCTTTGGAAACAACCCAAATGCCCAAAAATAGATGACTCGATCAAGAAGATGTGGCATATATACACAAGGGAATATTACTCAGCAATCAAAAAAGATAAATTCATGCAATTTGCAGCAACATGGATGGAGCTGGAAGGGATCATGCTCAGCGAAATAAGCCAGAAAGAAAAAGAAAAATACTGGATGGTCTCACTCATAGCAGGAATCTAGAAAACCTAAATAAGGGACCAGGAAAAAGAATAACTATAATAAAGAAAAATAAAAATCAACAAGCAGCTATAAACCAGAGACACACTATGGGGGGGTGGGGAGTGGGGAATGGGGAGAGGAGGGAATATAACCAAGATGAAAATGCATACATTGTGCAAAAATGAAAAATGATGTAAGAAATATATATATTTTTAAAAAGTTCCTTCTAAGAGGAATTCTTCTATTAGTAGGATGATAAAACAGAATTTTTTATCTTGTTACATGACAGTTGGCAGAATACTAACCTGAATACTTTTGTTGAGACCTGCTTCCTGAATAAAGTGCCAAAAACCCCAAAAAATGACTGTATATGTAATTTGTCTAAATCATACACTCTTGATATCTTTGACTAATATAATGTCTTATGTATAGAATGTCTGCTGCTTTTAAAGAAACATGTTCCCACCTAAGTCACAGTCCCACCTAACACAAAAGAGCCACCTCATGGCATCTTCCATTAATTATGTATCTCACTTACACAAAAATCAATTTAGCTTTTGATACTCTAATATTTTCATTATCATGAATTTATTTTTGTTTTTCTTAGAGCTTCAGGTTAGATACAAAGACAAATGCAAAATGTGTTTTTCAGGAAGTAAACCTTTCAAAACCTTTCATACCCCCATTTATGGATCAATCTGCAATCTGTTCTTTTTTTTTTTTTTTTGATTTATTTATTTATACAAGAACCAGGGTACAGGCCAGAAGCGCGGGAGGGTGAGAGGTTTCACCAGAGACAGAGTGGGGAACAGAACAGGCAGACTGACGAAAAACACTGCTGAGGAGAGCAGTGGGCGAGACAGGAGAGGTCTGTCGCGCCTTGTGGGATTCTTGCTGGCCGACCAGGATCAAACCGGCACTGCAGAGGCTGCAGACAGCTTCACAGAGCGATACTCAACTGCCTGCGCCACCAGGGAGGCCCTGTTCTTAAGTGAATTTTTCATTGTTCATTAAAAAAAAAAAAAGATTGAAGCTTTTTTCACTCTAACATCAATTTTGAGGATTTAAGGAGTTCACTAAACTGTACTATAATATACTGATCTTTATTTGAGTTTATAAACGAAATTACTTTTCCCTTGCCATATATTAGCCCAGCCTTACAGATTGTTTTACCCCATAGGTAATAGAGAAGAAGAAACCTAATCAGTAACTGGAATAATATGGAAGAGGATGGAAAAAACTTGTTTAATGGGTAAGAAAAGTATAATAACTGGTTATTATGAAAACTCTACATGATAGTATTATGTATGACCAATATATAGTAGGTGACTGAAGTTGGCGTACTATTAGGTTGAATGATAAGTCACTATCTTTTTCTTAGCCCTATTCTGAAATTTCACCATCTTCTCCCTTCTTATCATTGTGAATTTTTCAGTGTTATGAATAAACTTAAGCTAAGAGGGGACACAGCATATTTGAAGATAAAGATGTGAACTAGAGAATAGCAAACATACCAAAACAAGTATAGGGTAGTCTTGAAAAGCTTGTTGGTAGTTAAATGGAGAATGTGTCTGTCATGACCTGTCAGTTTCATTACCTGTCCCTTTTTCCTCTTCAGATATTGCCAGCTGTTATGTTAGGTTCTCTGTGGGGATCCTGTTCATTTAGGCAAGTGCGGATTGTGTGTCAAATAGAATTCCAAAGACAGCTCAATGAAAGGTTTGAATGAATTTATGAGATATAAAGCTTTTTAATTACACAGGACCATCCATTCTTATTCAACAATTTAAACATTATAGATAACCAAAGCCTTCAACCTGAATCACAGTCCCCTCCCAGAATATATAAGTGTATGTTAAATATATGTGCTACCTTCCTTTTTGCTTAATAGTTAAAAACTTGGACCTGAGAGTACAACTGTTTTTGACTAGCCACTATTAAATTAACATTTGGGCAAGTTAATTTCTCTGTACTTAAATTCCTTGGGTATAATGTGGGGCAGGGGGAGACAACAATAAAATACCTATTTCATAGTGATGTTGAGGAGTAATTAGTTAACTTATATAAAAAAAAAACTTGGAATAATGCCTGAAACATACTTAAGTGTTCTCATAAATATCCTAGTTAGCAGGTATTTTTTTTTTTTTAAGATTTATTCCTTTATGCCTCTGGGGTACAGCCCAGAGGTAGGGGGGGGGGCGGTGAGAGGATTCACCAGAGACAGAGTGGAGAACAGAACAGGCAGATTGACTGAAATACACTGCTGAGGGGAGCAGTGGGCGAGCCAGGAGAGATCTGCTGCACCATGTGGGTCAGTTCCCTGGCTGGGGATCGAACTCGTGCTGCAGTGGCTGTGAACAGTTTCGTAGGCTGGGTCTCAAACCCTTGCACCACCAGGGCGGCCCCTAGTTACCAGTTTTATGTCCAGCTATCCACATTTGAAGCTTTTTCTGATACACCCCAAGAGTTAAACCATCTTGGATAAAATTAACCCTGTTGGCAAGGATTTTTTTCACAAAATATTTTTTGTCTTCAAACTTCATTTCTTTCAGAGTATGCTGCTAGACTGTGTGAGAAACATGCCTTCAATTCTTACTGTATATCTTTTGTGTATAAGATACTCAAGATATGTATGAAAAAACTATCTTTGGGCTATGATAGTTCCCTTTTACTTGTAAAAGTATCTGTCAAAGCTGAATGCATGATTCTCTTTGTTTTGGATAACTATGTTAAATTTTATGTTAATATTGCTTCTGTCTGTTTTGAAGGACAAGTCTTTTTGAGTTTCTTTTTTTTGTGTTCACAAAATCATAATTGTTTTGAAAATGTCTTTGCTGTCTTTCCCATGGCTTGTCAGCACTTTACTGGGTGATACAGACGAGTATCTATTTTAAGAAGGTTATTTCTTTTTACTCCTGTATTATCCTGGGGCTGTACTATATTATTATGGACTTATTCTGTTTGCTTATTTTAGACTACTATATAAAGAGATTATTTTAGACTACTATATAAAGAGAAATTAATATTCACTCTTTATCGTGTGTCAGACATTGTTTTAAGTGCTTTACTTATTTGTTATTTAACTCTGTCTTCCACTTATAAAATAGATACTGTTTTTTTTTTTAATTGGAAAAGTGAGGTATGGATTAAATAACTTGTCCAAAATGACACTGCACATTGCAGCTTCAGACTTCAAACTGAGGTCCTCTTGCTCCATAGCCTGGGTTGAATATTGGGGTGCTGGCCTAGTTAATAAACTCTTGTGAGGTTTGCTAGGGGGATATGAATTTAAATAAGACAATAAATATCTCCTGAAAAAAGTCACCATAACTAATGTATTTTTGCTTGTCTGTGGGAAGGAAAATTTGAAATCATGTATCTTTAAGTATGGGAAAAAATTATCTAAGTACTCATAAATAATTATTTCTCTTGACCGTACTTAAATGAACACAGCTGTTTTGCTTGATTACAAGTCATATGTAGTAACTAGAAACCCCTTGAACCTAGCTAAGAAACAGTACATGTTTAGAAGGGATTAGAAGTCAGTTGATTGGTAAATTACTATTTAGCTGCTATTCATGGCAACATGCAGTTAGAAAGGTTGAACTGTGCAGCAGTTTGGAACTGATTGGTAATTGGAAATTGCTCTTTTGTCCTGTTAAAATGATATTCGAATGACAGTCAGCAGAAAAGTCATGCAGAGAAAAAAACAGGAGAAAGGTGACTTAGAGGTTTTATAATTAGAACCTTACTTATAAGTAGTGGTCTAAAAAGTAAATATAAATTAATAATCAAATTTGTATAGGAACTGGAAGTACATAGGGTTTTTCTTGGGCCTGTCTTGTCAGAGAGAAAAGTTGCCTTTTCTTCAAATAGCAGTCAATTTCCTGTTTGAAATATGGTAAAGTACGGAGTGTTAGGGGCATTTAAAGTAACAACAAACTACACTGATAAAAAGTCTTGGTTTGTGGCCAAGTGTAGTCAGTGATCTTTTCTTTCTTTCTCTCTTCAGCTCTTAACTCCTTGTCTGGGAATCCCTTCTGACGCTGACCAAAGTAATGGCTCTTAGCATGCAATATCTTTTACAACAGTGTCTTGAAGAGTGGGTCAGCGGCTTCTAAGACTCCTTCTGGTGTCAAAACTGCTTTAATAGCAGTACTGAAACATTACTTGCTTACAAGTATGCAGTGAAGTTTTCCTGTGCAACCAACTGAATACAAAAACAGATAGGAGATTCTCCAGCTGTCTTCCTTAATCCAAAGATTTTAAATTTTTGCAAAAAGGTTAAACTAAGGCCACTCATCTTACTAAGTATGTAGTTTGGGGGGGATTATTTCTATGTTAGGACTTTACAATCATAGCAGTGTGGGCCCTCTCTATTGCCGGTAGGCTCTGTGAGTGGTGGGCCCACCAAATAGTACCTCCTATGTGGATTGTAATGACATCCTGATAGATTGGGACTGTATCTCTGAGACTGGAGAAGTGAAAATTATGATCCTTTTCCATGATTGTGTCACACAGTATGTTCCAGCATATGAAAATCTGAATTTAGAGATTTATTTTTATTTATTTATACATACAAGAACTGGGGCCCAGGCTAGAGGTGCAGGGGGTAAGAGGATTCACCAGAGACAGAGTGGGGAGCAGAACAGGCAGATTTACTGAAATACACTGCTAAGGGGAGCAGTGGGTGAGACAGGGGAGGTCTGCTGCGCCATGTGTGTCAGCTGCCTGGCCAGGCATTGAACTCGTAGTGCAGTGGCTGGCGATAGCTTGATAATGCTGAGACTTTAACCCCTGCTCCACAAGGGAGGACCTGAAAAATCTGAATTTAAAGGAAAAAAATTATGTAGGAACACTATCCAACCCTGCCAGTGACCCCACTGAGTGTTCTTTGTATTGGTTGTTCCCAACATTGGGAGGAACAAAGGAATTCTCAGGATAGCCTTTTCATTTACAGTATTAAATCGAGCATTTACTCTGTTCTAGGAGCTGTAATACAGACATGGTTGCCTAACAGGGTGTGGTCAGCGATGGATCACATATCAGCAGACGTCCCAATAGGTTGTACCAAGGAGCATTAGTGTGGTAGTGGGCTGTCCATCTAGGTTTGTGTGAGCACATTCTGTGTTATTCGCGTAAGTACAAAATTGCTTAATGATGCATTTCTCAGAATGTATCCTTGTCATTAAGCAACACATGACTGTAAGGCAGGGAACAAAATAAAAGCAAAAAAGCCTCTGCTCACATGGGGATTCCCTTCCTGTCTGAGTTCTTTGCCTTGGTCACACCTCCTACTTCTGGGAATCTAATGGTTGATAGTTCCTATGGACTGTGAACAATGACTGGTATTTTCCAGTGACTGAATGTTAAGGCTAGAGTGGGAACTGCTTTACATTTGTGATTTTTGATTATTAAAAAAAGACACCAATGACTTGGGATTTTTCAAAACTTACAGAGTCCCAATAGCAATAAAGGTGAGCCTATCTTGTTGTGACTGCTTTAGTCTTGTTTTCAAAGTTAGTGCCACTTTTGTCAAGAAATTTAATTTAAAAAAATTAAATACCAACTGACCTTACATTTGTTGTAATTGTTTTTATTATGTGAAGAAAGTGGAAATTTCGTTGCCTAAGTTTGTTCCCAAGACCCTGTAATTTGTTTAATAGACTTTTATACAGTGATTACTTGGCTCATTAGGTTGAGTCACTTGATAATGACTTGAAGGTTAACTAATGCGGCCCATCAGAGCCCTGTTCGTCAGCTGGAAGTCTAGCATATCACTCACTACCGTGAGCCATTTCCAAATGCAAATGATTGGGGATACCATTAGAATGTAATGGAAAAAGAAACTGATATTTAAAATGTGAATGACTGAAACCGCTTCTCTAAAGATTATGTTAAGATGCACTTTAATAGGAGCCTTTATAAAAAAATCGAGTGGCATTTTGACCTTCTCTTCATTTAAAGTGTAAAAGGAGCTTTATAATCAGAGTGCACCAGATGACTGTTGTCTATTTAGCATCTCCACTGTGTTTTAGATCAGTATGTCTCAGGTTCAAATATAATCCCAGTCTTCTGCCAAAGTGGGAGAGACATAGTCATTTGACTGTGAGGAATCCTGTTCAACCATCTGTTTTTTTAAACCTGCCTTCAGAGGTATGTAGAATCTCTAATTCCTGATCCTTGCCAGGTTCTTAAGATCTGAGTTACCAGCTTGCTTGTTTATTTCACCTTGGTGTGGGCAGTATTTAA